TCACCTTGAAGTATATAGTTCAAGGCGTTGACGAAAGAGTTTGAAGACGTCAGCTTGGTTGGGCAATGCCCAGTCCATGTTAGGTACTCGATCACTCGGCATGTTTACTGGTCCCAGCAACGTATTAGCGAATGCCGCACTGTGTATGTAGATAACACATATCTCCTGTCCGTCTTGTATGTGCAAGTGTTTATACGACGATGTCCGTCATCTTTTATTTCGCCAGCCACTGTACACTGTCGTGTGGCTTTCTGTTGCGCACCGCGTTGTAGACATCACACCGCTCGCGCGCACACATCCTGTCTATTGTCTAGACACGCGTGCTGTAGGCACACATGCTGTATCCTCCATGGCGTCTGCAGCAGCAGCGGTATGCAGCCGGGCGAACTTTTCCTCGACGCATACACGCCTGCCCTGCAAACGTTCAGCACTAATTCTCACAGTTTCACTTTGCTGAGGCTTCCCGAACATCGTTCCTTCGCCGCTGCCACCATGTTAAGTATTGACGAAGAGTGATGTAACTCATAAAGGTATTTTATTGCTGGAGCTGGTAAATGTTCTGCTTAGCACGCACACGAACTGGCGAACAAGAGCGCGCGATATCAATCCGCGTTGACCTAACAATAAGGTACTAGATTATATAATGTGCATGCGCATAGTAAGTAGTCCATACTAATTACTATTACAATGTGCACCAACATAAATCGACCTATTTCCAATAGAAATCCGTCATAGACTACTGCTACTTAGCTTTTTACTTTACGGGTAAAAAAAAAACATCTTTGGGATCCCCCGACCAACCCCTACACACAGTGCTGGTCCTAAACATTCTATCGCTAAACTTCGTAAAAAAATTGTACTACAGTAAAACTTTTGGGACTAGCATATTTGTGTCGTCTTTTTATGTGTAAGTCGTCATTTTGTCGACTTATACAATGTATGTAGTGCACGTATACACTGTATTAGCTGCCTTGCGATCGCTACAAAGAGTATGCAACGTTTTTGCTTTAGGCGCCACGCTGGCGGCATGAAATACATGCAAAAATACGTATCCGTGAAGTGTCAAGCGTTGAACGGGTCAAGTGTTGAAACGTTTGCCGCCTCGCGGTCGATAACGTAACAGCTTCGAACATACATAGAGAGGTTGGTAGAAAGAAGAAAAACGCCAAGTCATCAGTGTAAACCCAGCTTTAGTACTGTATAGCAGAATTAATTTTCAGGGAGTCACACGGACTCCTGCACATGTCAAATCAGGGAGGCCGACAGTAAATCAGGGAGTATTTTACTCGATCCGGACTCGCGTTAATTTTGCACCTTGCATTGGGCTGCATACACTGTATACAGTGCTGGGTGTGCGAGCTGGGTGTTGAGTTGGCCACAAAAACCAATGTGTCCAAGCGAACAATGCGATTCAAACAATCCGTCTGCGACAGCCAGTTCGCGCATTCCCTAGACCGTACACTGCGCCATCGGCATTTCTGATGACGACTTACAGATGGGAAATTACTGTTGTTTGTATTACATGGGACCTGTCTGACGGCGTCGACTTGTACATAATGACGACTTATAAATGTCGACTTAGGCAGGGCTATATTCCAATGGATTTACTATGAGAGCGAATCGGGACTTTGACAACCATGTCGACTAATTGACGACTTATGCTTGTAGACGCGCGCGAAATTGTTAACTCGAGTTAAGCGGTAGTTATCAGTATCCGCCTCCCGCTAGCTGCCGTTAGCTTTTAGTAATTATCACGAGTTTTCCAGTGTTTTCACCACTTTCGTGGTACATACCGTTATTGCTTGAGCAACAGCAATTGTCTAGAGTAACGATAAAATGTCTTAGAACCTTTGTATTCACCAAAACATGCAATTTTCGAACTACTAGATTGGTAAACAATCTTTTGCTGTAATCTTGAAACTAGAGCCGGTAGTATGGACTAAAGAGCTAAATATATTTAGCTCCTTGGTATGGACTAGCTAGTAGCACCGCCGCCTATCTGCCATAGACATAGTACAGTCTCTCTCAACTGCACTTGTTTTCCATTAATCACCAACAATTTGCAAGTTTACAAATTCTGCCATTATCACGATGCGATAAAATGCATTGCTGTTACGATGTGTTCATATCCAATTTTCTATGCTATGACTGCTTATAATCTTAGTGTTTTTAATGCTGGTGTAATCAGTGATATATCTGCTGTGAGGTGAGACTATATTTCACTATATTTTTTTGGGGGTTGAGGGTTTCTGAGCAAAACTCTCGTAATAATAGCTTTAACTTGGGTTAAGACAAACTCCGTGTAGACGATGCGTTTCTTAACTCGGGTTAAGGTGACTCCGTGTACACGAGGCTATTTAGTATAGGTAACTCTACCAATACGCATCTGAAAACAGTGGAGCACGCAACAGTGCTGTTACTAGCTCTAATTAATCACCATAGCAATGTCACCTTACTTCTGCAAAAATGTTGCTATGCCTAAACTCACTTTCTGTCCATAAACAGTGTCATGGGCATTATAATACATCTCTTTTTCTGCTATGATGTTGATAATGCTCGTCTCAGCTGTCATATCTGATGTCAAATAGCACTCCTTTTTGAACATGAGTGCAGGCGTCTGCGCACGCAGTTTCATTTCACATGAGTTAGAGATCGAGTAGCTTTTGCCCTATAACATATGTAAACGATATGATTGCCTAACAGTAGATGATTATAGAAATTACTTGAACATATACAGTTAACATTATAACAGTTTGTGGTGGGAGTTTTACTATTTCTAGATGCTAAATACAACGTGCATAACTATGATAAGTTAAAATATTTAACGAGCTAGTGTGTACACTAGTTCTTCATTGGGACGCTTAGCGGAAGGTGAATAACAACTGACGGGATAAAATATAGGAATTATGTGCCAATAACGGCTACATAAAAGATTAGCAGTTACCTTGAAAATCTTGTAAAGTATAGATCTTAGTTTTGGTACTAGTATCGAATCATAGCACTTCTCAATGTCAAGCTTTACGAAATAAAGGGGACTGCAAATGGAAAAAATGATGGATACCATTACATAAAAAGAAAACAGGTGCCACAGTTAATCACCATTCTTCTGCCACCACTGCTTCTACGTCTACACTAAAAGCACCCATGCATACAAACTATGCATTTACCAATGTATTTACAGTTACATTTCTGTGATATAACGCTGACATACATAGTATCACTCACCCGTTATCCCCCCTTTTTTCACGGCAGAGTTTGAAACACTTCCAACCTTCATAAATGTCATGAGAGCCTCTCACGCCAAACTTGGTCTTCCCATCACCATTTACCTAGAAAATTTCTGCACTACACCAATATGTCTTACATTTAAAGGTGGTATGAATTTTTTATACTTTGAAAGTAATGGGTCTTACATAAGCCCAGTCTGAGCGTACTATAGTACAATAGGCAATTTTGAATGAATGCATTAAATGAGCTACTGTTATGTAGATACAATTAAGGATCATTGCGACTGTTAGACTGACTATTCCCATTAACTATTGCATTCCACAAAAGTATGCCTATCATCTGTAACAGGCTTACTAATTTCAATGTGCCAATAAGAACACAGCACTGTTAACATAAAATCGGAAGTGCAACCAATGAAACACCTGTCCACCTACATTGCATATTCAATTAAGGGTATTCATCAGACAAAATGTTTTCTGAACTACACCTGTTAATACTTGTTTCAAATTATTGGCACGTTAATTATATAATTAAAACCCTCATGTAAAATGTCTTTTACTAATAAGTTCACAATATATCAAAGACATACACATACGATTTCATATTCGAGTACAGCTTTGGCATGGGTGAGCTCTTGGTTGATGGGTTTCGTGTATTTACCACCTGGTGGTGGTGCCACACTACAACTACTGATAGGACGAACTGTCGTTTTCTTTGGAATAAACCTATGTAAACAAACCTCCAAATTACAAAGAGAAAAGTCGAAGTATATTTGTAGTACAACACTGGGGGAAGTCAAAGAGAGGAGTTTAGGGCTGGATCGTGGAACAATGGATCCATGACAGGAAGAGGAGCGGAGGTGGTGAGCATGATGAAGAGGAGAAGCATTGATGTTTTATGTGTGCAAGAAACGGGGTGGAAGGGGTGCAGCGCAAGAGAGCTGGGAGTCGGATGCAAGATATACTACAGCGCATCTAAACATGGACGAAATAGTGGGAATAATTTTGCTGGAGAAGTGGAGGGAGAAGGTGATAGAAGTAGATAGGGTTAGCAACAGAGTGATGAAGCTGAAGATGGTAATAGGGCGAGAAGTACTGAATATAATATCAGCGTATGCTCCACAGACGAGATGCACAGAGGATGATAAGGATGCATTCTATGAGCAGTTGGAAACATTGTTAAGACAAATCCCCGAGAGAGAGAGCTTAATAGTGGGAGCAGACGTGAATGGGCATGTCAGAGTGGAGGCGGCGTGGTACACAGAAGAACATGGTGGATATGGGTATGGATGCAGAAATGAGGAAGGAGAAAGAATACTGGAAATGGCGCAAAGCATGGGAGTTGTTCTGTACAAATACCGGATTTATGAAGAGAGACGAGCATTTGATAACATATAGAAGTGGAGGAAGAGCAAGCCAAGTCGATTACATACTGGTGAGGAAAGGAGACAGGACACTGGTTAGGGACTGCAAGGTTATAGCTGGAGAGGCACGCGTGAAGCAGCAAAGGGCGGTTGTGGTTGACATAAAGTGGAGACATGCGGAGAGGAGAGATACGAGAAGACCAAAGATCAGACTATGGAAGCTGAAGGAGGATAAAGTGGGCCAGATCAGAGTGTCAGGAGGAGACAACAGGTTCAGATTGAGTATGGAGTAGAGGAGCAGTGGCAGCAGATGAAGAGCACACTGGTGGCAGCAGCAGAGAAAGTGGTCACAGGGAGGAGGAAGGATGGAAAGAAGACTTGGTGGTGGAGAGATAAAATTCAAGAAGTACTCGAGAGGAAAAAGAGAGCATTTAAGATTTGGAAAAGAAATGGACGTGAAGAAGACAGGCTGGTATATAGGGAGCTGTGCAGAGAGAGTAGAAAGGAGGTGGCAAAAGCGATATGGGATGAGATGAAAATATGGCATGAAGAATTGGAAACAAGTGAAGGGGAAAAGAAGATATATAGGATTGCCAGAGATAGAGGCAGGAGAAGAAAGGATCACGAAAATATGAGTGTGATAAAAGATGGAGCAGGAAATATAGTGACAGGTGAAGAAGAAACTAGAGAGAGATGGAAGAAATATTTTAGTGAATTGTTGAATGTAGAAAATGCAAGGGACGATATGGAACATGTTACTGCAGTGCAGGGCCCATTAATAGAAATACAGAGAGAGAGGAGGTTATAAGGGCGATAAAGAAGATGAAGAAGGGACTATCTGAGGTTGTGGCAAAAATGGTGAAGAGTTTGGGAGATGATGGAGTAGACTGGATTCTGCAATTGGTAAGAAAGATCATGTCGATGAACAAAATACTGGAAGATTGGAGGAGTAGTGTGATAGTGCCTATTTACAAGCAGAAGGGAGACATCTTGGAGTGTGGTAATTATAGATGAATCAAGCTTATGGAGCCTGTAATGAAAATACTGGAAAGGATAATTGAGGGCAGACTAAGAGAAGAAGTTAATATAGATGAAATGCAGTATGGTTTCATGAAAGGGAAGAGTATAGCGGATGCCATTTTTATAATGAGGCAGACACTGAAATGCATAGTGGAATTGCCAAAATCTACCTAATTTAAAAAAAATATCAAAACCCCTGTGATATGTTTTTGGGCCAGTCCTTATTCATTCACATACCAAAAATGAGCAAAATCCATTGAACCTGAACGGACTTATGGCCATTTCCATTTTTGCCAAAATGTGGGCGTGGCTCAAAAGTAGGTCAACTGGCATGCTCCAAAATAGGACGTTCACATCTCTCCCATAGGAGTAACAACTGCGTGCAATTTGAAACATGTGGGTCAAACAGTTCTCAAGTTATCGTTGACCGTAGCCAAATGTTGACGGACGGACAGACGTACGACGGACAACGCCCCATGGCAAAGGCTCATCTTGACGATGTCAATGTGAGCTAATGAGGAAACGACGTTGCAGAGAAAAGAGATGACGATGTTGCGTTGGATACTGGGAGTTTCATTGAGAGAAAGAAGAACAAACAGAGGACGTACGACGAGTAGCTGGAGTAAGAGACGTTACGGAAGTTATAATGCAAAGTAGGATGAGATGGTATGGGCATGTGGTTAGGAAAAGAGATGAGGAGAAAATGAAGAGAGCACGGCAGGAGCTGGTGAGAGGAAGGACGAGAGGACGACAGAGAATTAGATGGAGGGATGGAGTGGAGGCGGAGATGAGAAGGTTGGGAGTAACGGAGGACGATACGGCCGATTGAGGAAGGTGGAGTAGAATCATCAACAGGGAGGTGAGCCCCTAGCTGACGTCTCAGCATGGACCATCCGCGAGAGACTACGACAAAAAAAGAAGAAGACTTGGGGAAATCTACCTAGTTTCTTCCTCCCATATTGAACTGAAATCAATTAATGTGATGTGACTTTCATGCCGACATATAAGGCATGGAACTGTATTCACTGTAAAACCATAGGGCTACGTATACAGCCAAACATATGCTTGCTGACTATATACATGTTTGTTTTGACACCTGAGGTGGATGAGTCCAATACTTCTTCCACATTTGACATCATGCAAAGCTTCCTGCTCTGGTATCTCCTCAATGTTACAACCATGACTCTCCAGACTCAGAGCATGAATCTTGTTCCAGATATGTGACCTGCACATAAGAATGAGTATTTGAGTGAAACCAAAAAAAACAAAACAAAACATACACTGGCATTAAATATAAAGTTCCCCTCACCTTCCAATTCAATATTTTTGAAAACTGATTGAAAAGATCTCGGATAAACCGGACTGGTACCTTTTGAGAAGAACTGGCTCATTTTTTATGGATTTTATTATGTAACATAGTAAAGATCAATATTTTCGAAATGAGAACTATAATAAGGTTTTCAGACATGCAAGACTACCCTAACTCCTTTCACTGCATTGACATGACTTGCTCCTCCCTTGGTGATCCTGCAAATCTATCTGGTTTCCATACTTAATATGTTATAGTATGCTACTTCCACTGAATGGCCTTTCATAGTGTTAGTGTAAACAGATATTAATAATCAGATCTTTATTCTGTTCGACATACCTGTAGTAGTAGAGAGCACCTTTGGTAGCTGCATGCTCAGTGATGTAGAAGCAAGCCTTGAGAGTCAACATAACCACATTGTATAACAACCACCACAATAACCTAGCAGCCAGTGCCTCTTGCAGTGCTCGTGATTGTACAGTCTTAAGCCATTCGCAGTCGCTCACCTACGGACAAGCAAGGTCTGTTATGTGTGTTATGTATTGACGAAGAGTGATGTAACTCATAAAGGTATTTTATTGCTGGAGCTGGTACATGTTCTGCTTAGCACGCACACGAACTGGCGAACAAGAGCGCGCGATATCAATCCGCGTTGACCTAACAATAAGGTACTAAATTATATAATGTGCATGCGCATAGTAATTAGTCCATACTATTACATCGCCCTTATCAAAGAAACGTTTAACAAAAATAGCAGGCGTTAACATAATTGAATAATTGAAGTATTGGAATCTTTGAAAATCGTTTCTCCTAATTCTTATACTTTCTGTTTATCCTTTATCAAAATCAAGAATACTGTACTCATAATGAAATAAGGATAATCACTGCTTGTGACGCAATATAGTCAAGTCATGTACTGTCTATAATACACAATGAAATTAATGTCGATACTGTTCCATCCATTATCACCCGTCATAATACTACGTAGTCGCGGAGGTTTCTTTACCCTACTCTCCACCGGAACGCCGTTTTATAAAATTTGGTCTGCACACGCGAATTATTAGTTCTATCGCGATCAGGAGGCTTCGCTTCCGTCGACGACATCATCGGCTGTGCAGCTGGGGTATCCGACTCTCCATGGACATCCTTGCTCGTGGGGCCGATCCCAGTGTTGGCGACGTCCCTGGTGTGCTCACGCGTCATCACAAGAGGGTGTGCAAACCTCACTTGCTTTTTTGCGGTCACAGGATCTGCCGTCTCTCGGATGTGTACGCGATTTCTCCTGAGTGTCTTCCCATTCGGGGTTTCTATAATGTAGGACCTCGGCTCGCTACACTTCGAAACAATGATGGCGGGATGCCAGCGACTAGTCTCATGATCCTGCACACTCACTGCTTGTCCAGGCATGAGAGGTGGCAGGTCATGTGCTGTACGGTCGTGGTACATCTTCTGCACTTCTTGTCGCTGTTGCAGCTGGTCACGAACGTGATCAGCGTTGCCATATCGTGGTCCAGGTATCTTAGCTGGTACATTCGCACGTAGCTTCCGGCCTGTGAGTAACTCGCCTGGACTCGGCAAGTACTGGCTAATGGGTGTCGTACGAAGGCACAGCATAGCTAGGGCTGGATCTGTTCCTGCTTGTTTGGATTTCCGAAGTAGTGACTTCACAGTGCGTATCTGTCTCTCGATAAACCCGTTTGACTTTGGGTATCTCGGCGATGACGTCACGTGATCAAAGCACCACTGTCTCGCGAAATCACGATATGCTTCGGAAGCAAACTGCGGTCCGTTGTCACTGATGACACGACTCGGAATCCCATGTTCGCTGAGTATCTGCTTTGTAGCAGCAACAACAATACTGCTGGTGTACTGTCCAGTCAGCTTGCGAATGACCGGGTATTTACTGTAGTAATCAGCAACAATCAGGTATTCGTTGTTGTCGAAGTGGAATAAGTCTGTTCCAACTCCCAAACCTCCAACAACCAAATCTCCCATGGACGACTTGGGATTTCGTGTGCCAATAGCGTTTCGGACGGTTGCGACGGTTGATGTTCCTGACAAATTAGACATTTGTGTATCATCTTCTCAATGTCCTTGTTGAGTCCGTTCCAGTACACCGTTTCTTTGGCACGTAGACGCGTTTTCTCAATCCCTTGGTGATTGTAGTGCAACTGTTGAAGTATGTTCGGCTGTTGCTCTGTCGGCACGACAACACGCGTACCTTTCAACACTATGCCGTTCTCTACAGACAGTTCATCTCGATATGACCAAAATGATCGAATCGGCGTCGGGATCTCTTTGATCGTATCAGGCCAACCAGTTGAGATGGTTTCACACAGCTGGTTGAGCACTGGATCACGTCATGTTTGCGTCTTGTAGAGCTTGGATCCGGTCAGTACTAAACCGTACCAAATCCATGCTAACGTCAAGCTCGATTGTGTCCCCATTCTCTGCATTGGGAAGTCGACTTAACATGTCTGGCAAAGTCATCTTTCTCTACTACTACTCTGTACTCGATGTCCAGTTGGTAGCCCTGTAGCTTTAGCATCATCCGCTGTAACCTTGGAGGTGCACTTGTCAGTGGCTTTTGTAGGATCATGACCAATGGCTTGTGATCGGTCAAGACCTTGAACCTCCGGCCGTATAGATATGTGTGGAATCTCTGCACACCAAATACTATGGCCAACAGTTCTCTCTCGCAAGCGTAACGCTTTTCGGTGTCCGATAGTGATTTCGAAGCGTATGCTACTGGCTTCTCATCTTGTAATAGAGCCGCGCCTAGTCCCTTAAGACTAGCGTCAGATTGAAGAACCGGTGTTTTGTTGGTGTCGAAGTACTGCAGGGTAGTCCTTAGTTACGACTTCCTTGAGTTTGTCGAAACATCGCTGATGGCGATCTTCCCACAGGAACGGTACATCCTCCTTGAGTAAGTCACGGAGCGGTGACGACTTGTCTGCCAAGTTAGCTATGAATGGCGACAGATATGTCACAAACCCAAGGACCTCTTGTAGCTCTTTCTTACCGGTTGGCACTGGCATGGCTTGTAAGTCATTTATCTTGCCAGGGTCTGGATGGACACCTTTGTCACTGTATACATTTCCAAAGAATGTGATACTGTTCGTCTTAATGTCACACTTTGTAGAGTTAAACACAAGACTGTTCTCCGCTGCGACTCGCATAAGGTTGCGTAAAATACGGTCATGTTCGTCGTCAGATTTTGCATACACTGCGACGTCATCAGCAATTCCTACAGCACCATCAACTTGCTCTAGTATTTGATCCATTCGCATCTGGAATACGTCTTGCGAGATCGATAAACCAAACGGTAAGCGCTGGAAACAGTACCTTCCGAATGGAGATTGGAAGGTTGTAAGCAGTTGAGACTCTGTGTCGAGTTGTACCGACCAGTATCCTTCCTTGGCATCAGTTTTAAGAAGATTTTAGCACCCGTGTAGTGATGCATCAGTTCCTCGATTGTGGGGATTTTGTGGTGTGGGCGTTTTAGAGCCTGGTTTAGGTGTCTTGGGTCCAAGCATATGCGCAGGCTGCCATCCTTCTTATGTGAGTACGCTAGACTCGAGACCCAATCAGATGGTTCTGTCACCTTTCTGATGACACCGTCCTTCACCATGAGGTCAATTTCCTTTTTGATTGCTTCCTTTAACGCTATCGGTGTTTTGCGTGGTGGATCTATGTGCGTTGGCACGTTGGGGTCTACTACAATCTTTGTCTACCGGACCAGGCATCAACCGATCTGTCGAACTGCGTCTGGATACAGCCGTTTTTCAGATCATGAATGTTACTGATGGACGGCTTCACACTGTCAGTGGTCCTGTCAGTTTCAGCTTTGATAGCACAGTGTAGTGTTACAGATTTTAGTTGTTCACATGTTGGGGGCTCAGCGACTGCTGGTCTTCCACGTCTACTATGTAGAACTTGCTTCCTCGTCCAGCCAGATCCGTTGTAGCTACATGGAATGTTATAATTCCATAAACAACCTGATCGATGATCCATTATATGCTGTTAGCCGTGTTTGACGACTTGCGTTGGATATCGTGTTTAATTGGAAATCTTCCCGGTGTGAGCATGCCGGATTACATCTGCGAAATGTCGACAGTGGCAGTGTATTGTCCTGTGCACCAGTGTCCACCCTTCAGTCGGCAAAATATGCACTCCAGGGCGATTGGCCCGTTTGATGTGCATTTTTTGCGAATGCTTCATCTTGGTTGATTCTCTTTAGGCACATAAAGTCGAGATGGTAATTCTGTCAAATGACAACCCCGTCACTTTCCTGGTCTGACTGTCTGTCCGACTTGCGTATATGCAATCAGTCTTGCTACGGTCGATGGTTATTCATGTGCGTCTTACTTCGAGCACCTTTGTAGGAATTACCTCTGCCTCTGCCTCTTAATTGTGCATGATGGTTGTCTACGCGATGTTGAGTTGCCTCGATCATGTGATTTTGACTTGGGTTCTAGCTCGTGACTTGCTTGACAGACACACAGTAGCCCAGGGTTTGCTTACCACATCATTGCACACTGACCCATCGTCTGGGCAGCGTTCTTTGGCGTCTGTTGGGTGTTGGCGTCCACCAGTTCTGTACTGCTGTCATGTTCGGATACTAGCTGTACATGCTGTCGCCATATCCTTCAGTTGCTGCACTTGGTGACGATCAGCAGCCTCATATGTCGGCCTATGCTAGGGCTTCATCAAAGTTTTGTAGTTTTTGTCCTGCCCCAAAGTTCCGTTCTGGTACTCAGGTATCGGTGCATGCTATGATGAGCTCTATAAATTCGCTTCGTGTATCTCTGTCTTTGAATTGACATACGTAATGCTTGTAGTTTTACATCTATTGACAATTCATCCAGAGTTTCTTCCCTGTTTTGTCCTGTCGTGCATCAATTCAAACGATCTTACCCCTATAAGTTCTCATGAGGTTCCAGTTGCTCGGCAAATTTATCGAATATTTTGTCGACAGACTTTATTTTCCCAGTCAAGGTCCACGAGTTGTGTATCTGCGTAGTCCCTCGTCCCCCACCTTACAATAATAAAATGGTTAACTTGGTCAAGAGTGTCAATGTTCTTCACCTTGAAGTATAGTTCAAGGCGTTGACGAAAGAGATTGAAGACGTCAGCTTGGTTGGGCAATGCCCAGTCCTGTTAGGGTACGCGATCACTTGGCATGTTTTACGGTACCCAGCAACGTATTAGCGAATGCCGCACTGTGTCTGTAGATAATACATATCACCTGTCCGTCTGTATTTGCAAGTGTTTCATATGACGATGTTCGTAAACTTTATTTATCGCAGCCACTGTATACTGTCGTGTGGCTTTCTGCTGCGGCACCGCGTTGTAGACATCACACGGCTCGCGGCACACACATCCTGTCTATTGTCTTAAACACACATGCTGTTTCCTCCAATGGCTTCTGCAGCAGCACGGCCATGCCGCGGGCAAACATTTCCTCGACGCATTCGCCACGCCTCAAAGTTTCACTTTGCTGAGGCTTCCCGAACATTGTTCCTTCGCCGCTGCACCATGTTATGTATTGACGAAGAGTGATGTACCTCATAAAGGTATTTTATGGCTGAGCTGGTAAATTTCTGCTTAGCACGCCACACGAACGTGGCGAACAAGAGCGCGCGATATCAATCCGCGTTGACCTAACAATAAGGTACTAGATTATATAATGTGCATGCGCATAGTAAGTAGTCCATACTATTACAATGTGCACCAACATAAATCGACGCTATTTCCATAGAAATCCGTCATAGACTACTTCTACTTAGCTTTTTACTTACGGGTAAAAAAAAACATCTTTGGGATCCCCCGACGCAACCCCTACACACAGTGCTGGTCCTAAACATTCTATCGCTAAAACTTCGTAAAAAAATTGTACTACAGTAAAACTTTTTGGACTAGCATATTTGTGTCGTCCTTTTATGTGTAAGTCGTCATTTTGTCGACTTATACAACTGTATGTAGTGCACGTATACACTGTATTAGCTGCCTTGCGATCGCTACAAAGAGTATGCAACGTTTTTGCTTTAGGCGCCACGCTGGGTGCGCATGAATACATGCAAAAATACGTATCCGTGAAGTGTCAAGCGTTGAACGGGTCAAGTGTTGAAACGCTTGCCGCCTCGCGGTCGATAACGTAAAGCTTCGAACATACATAGAGGTGGTAGAAAGAAGAAAAATGCCAAGTCATCAGTGTAATACCCGCTTAGTACTGTATAGCAGAATTAATTTTCAGGGAGTCACACGGACTCCTGCACATGTCAAATCAGGGAGTCCGACAGTAAGTCAGGGAAGTATTTTACTCGATCCGGACTCGCCTTAATTTTGCACCTTGCATTGGGCTGCATTACACTGTATACAGTGCTGGGTGTGCGAGCTGGGTGTTGAATTGGACACAAAACCAATGTGTCCAAGCGAACAATGCGATTCAAACAATCCGTCTGCGACAGCCAGTTCGCGCATTCCCTATCACCGTACACTGCGCGCATGCGCATTTCTGATGACGACTTACAGATGGGAAATTACTGTTTTTGTATTACATGGGACCTGTCTGAGAGCGTGTACATAATGACGACTTATAATGTCGACTTAGGAAGGCTATATTCCAATGGATTTACTATGAGACGAATCGGGACTTTGACAAACCATGTCGGACTAATGACGACTTATGGCGAGTTTTATCTGTACGTAATTTATCTGATTTCACAGGAGGAACTCAATAAATCTTGAGTTTTAGCTCACTGTACATAGTCAGATGCAGCTTGTAGAATCGCATGAGCGTGCGTCCGTGCGTCCGTCCGGCCGTGCGCAACAAGTTGGCACAAATCTTAACCGCTTGACGTACGTGCACGATATTCGGGACGTCAGGAAGGATCGTCAAAACGAGTTGGGACTGGCGAACGGGTCAAAGGTCAAAGGTCAAAAGTTGTAAAAGAAGGGGGAAACATTCCCTCCTTAACTTAAGGTATAGGGAGGAAATGCAGAATTGCGGCACAAATCTAAACGGCTCGACCTAGGCTCTTGATAGTCGCGTGATAGCATCATGGTAAGAAAAGCCATCACTCGTGTCGAAATTGGAGGTCACAGGTCAAAGGTCAATGGGGCACAGGCAGATTTTAGACACTTTTCTTAGGACATGGTCTGACGGAGCAACTGAAAACTTTTTTGTTTTCAGCGGTGACCTAGCAATTTTTATGGCTTTATTTGAAAGGATTATGAAATGTACGTTTCTGCTGAAATGCGAACGAGTAAGGGTGGATAACCTTTTGACCCTCAAGAGGAGGTTAAACATGGATTGTTTACTGTCTGTTAGAAAGAATTTGACTGGCCGGTTTGCTAGTAGAATCTATACATGCCTGGATGTATTGAGCTACAATGTCACAGTCAAATTTCAAAAGCTAAATTTGGTAGAAGGTTTATGCTCCTTCAATCGATAGATTTCTATGGCATTCTGTCTCTGTCAGTGTGTTACATGTAACGTATGCCACTGCCGTGCATTGGTGGTTGATATACTGTGTAGTTTTTGCCTGCGTTAATTAGTTACAGTGGCAGCTCTCTATTTCAGCCTGTAGGCTTGCGTAGGTTAAATGGATGAGTGCTTACCTATTCTGTCTTGCAATAGTTGTTGCTACTACGTACGATGGGAGCTTCCATCTTTAATCTTAAGACACTTAAACATACACGCCATCTCGTGGCAACTTTCATAACGATCCCAACGAACATTCCTTTGAGAAGGTTCCTGATACCATCCCTGCGCCTTCCACTGTTTCGGCGTGTATGTGAACACATTTCGGACTAGCAGGGTTTACTAGAATCCCACCACTCCACCACAGAGTCACCGCAGTAGACGTTAGATGAGCGCTGTCGCTCCGTGGCACTTGTTGCTTTTAGCAGCTTTGTGTTTATTTGTTTAAATAATATAGAAATATACAGAGGTATGCTGACATGAAAACTAAACAGTCAAATTTACTGTCCCGCATGCTATGTGCGCGTTTCGTAGGTTGCCTGGTGCTATATAATACACGTCACCAGGCAAAACGTTTTTTTTAAATATTTTTCCACCTGCCCACCTTACCTTATATTTATTACTCTACGATACCTCAAACATGGTACTTATTTTATAATTCAATGTTTAACGGATATCAGGATTATAGAACACAATACCTACACATTGAGTATTGATTTACAGGATTAGTGCAACCTATTATAATGTCAATCTTTAAATAGCCTCACCTTAAATCCCTGCATTAAGTCACCAAGTGCCATAGTCTCCTTCCTTTTCAATCGAACAAATTTTGTCACAATCTTTTGGAATCGTCTCTTGTTACCTTTTGACCCAAACAGTTCAATGGGGATGACTCTATGAGTAACAGCTTGTACAAAAGAAGAAACCTTGCTTGGCGGGGTATGCATGCTTAGCAGCACAGTTAGTTGATTCTGTGACGCATGGTCTTGTTTGTCACCTGCCGTTGGCCTTGCAGAATTGCACTGACTTGCTCCCGACACTGAACCATCGTATGTCTGATCATCGTCTGACAAATCTACCAATAATTTTGCTGCAAATGATGTGTCTGGGATCTCTGTGCACGTTTGTAGACCATTATTTGTTCTTTTAGATTCCTGCTCCCAGTCAGTCGGTACTGGTTGACTTAAGCTTTCCACGAAGACATGGTTTCTATGGTCTTTATTTCTCTTGCAGCTAGGTGCATAGTTGTCATTCCAGGAATCACTTGATCTTTTACGTTTCTTGTGCTCTTCTTCCTCTATGGATAAATTCATCATGTCTTCAATGGCAGTGTCATCGCTGACGCTTTCACATGTGTACTTATCCACTAGTCGATGTGGTTTACACCTCCTGGAAATGTTATATAGCTTAAATATATTACATCATATGCGGTAAGGCAATCTTCTTGGATACACTTACAGGAAAATACCTTCTACTCTAATGGTACTTTAAGAATTTATTACATAAACTAACCAATGAACACTTTAATTTACTTTTTATCTGTGATAAGCTTTGTACTTTAGTGGTTCAACCTAATTTGGTATAACAGAATTGAAATAATGGAAATTTTCAAACCCAGCAACATTGAAAGTGGTATGACATACTTGAAATTGTTGACGAGTTTCCTGAAGGGGGCGAAAATGTTCTCCTGTTTCTCACTGATTATTTTTTGTACCTGCTCCGTTACATATTTATGACCAATGACAGCATTCCCTGAAAAAAGTACTTGCTGAACTTTCTTTTGTCACAAACAATTATACATAATACAAATAGTAAAGCAAGCAAGATTTACATCTAGCACATTAAGATATTTGTGTTTTTTACCCTTAGAGTACAGAGTAAAGTTTACTCATTTACATGATAAATACATAACATTTTTAGCATTATATCCTTTGTAACCGCTGTGCACAATAAATAGACAAGGTGATGAGTTTTCCAAATACAGTTAGCTATACTATCTTAGCTCAATAGACAAACAAGTTTATGTTTATTTATGTATTAACATTCTAAACATGGTCAGATGAAACCAATGCTTATGATCACCTTACACTAATATTTCCCTCCCTATGTTTTACCTTTGCCACTTTCATATGTTTGGCTCAGATCTTGATCAAAAATTGCAACGAATAGTTTACAAATTCCTTCGTTATCATCTGCATTCAATTCCCGTACCATGTGATTCTCTGCAAAACATATATACTATTTAGGATAATCAAATCATTACATACACAGAAAGTGTCGTCTTTGTATTTGTTAGTCTGTGGTAAAACTATACCCATACATTGATGATGTAGTGCTCAAGGAGGCGAAACAAAATTAAAAGCTATTTCACTTTTTCTAATTGTTCTCGTATTTTTTTTTGACCATTCTGATATCGGTACTTCTTGCGTAACACGAAGTGTATATAGCAAGGCTAAAATGTATTAAAAACATGCACACATCATTATCTTGACTAACGTATGCACCGATCTGCATTTCAAAGTAAATTAGTTTACATATGTCAATGTCAATCACACGTGATTCCCGCATCTAATCTAATGGCATCAAAAGATGCTCTGTCTCTACACTATATTACCTTTGCCTACATGTCGAGATAGGGTACCAGTCTAGAACATTTTCATGTTTAATTTTAGCGAATCTCAGGAATGCAGATGCAAGTTTGCTGTCGATTTGCTGTTTTATAACATATATAACAGCACACAATCATAGTAATTTGTAAAATCATCAGTAATATTATCAGAAAAGAAAGTGATATATCCTTAAACTTACTTTTCTTTAATAGAGCCTCACTGCCACAGTACAAAACAGCATCCTTTTTCATCTGGATGAAGTAACTGAAATAAAAATAGAATGTATATCACACAAAACACTAAGCACCTAATATTGGACTATTCAAAAGCTATAGATATATAGATGTATTCATACATCAATATTTACATAACTCGACTCCATTTGACATTAAGAACTTGAAACAGCTTTGGAATCTACAAATACTCACTAGAAGCCTGGAGCATCTGTCATTGCATGACACTCTTCTACGGCTGATGCCTTCGGCTGGCGACTCTTACGTTTACCCTTCCCCCTTCCTCTTTCTCGTCCACGTAACGCTTTCTTCCGTGAGCGTTCCGAGGCTTGGGTTCCAAGTAAGTAATGCTGAGTTTCGCTCTGTGCTACATGGCTATCAGAATTACTGGCTCTATGTTTACTGCTATGTTCTTCTCTAGTACTCTCGATGGTAAGCTTGTTTTTGCATGGCCTACTTTGAATGTTCTGTATACTACCTACTCTTGTGACCTTATCAATTGGAGGGAAGATGGTAAAAACCTCCAATGGAGGTTGTATACTGCCTTTGAACCTGTTGCGGTATCCTTTCATCTCCAAACAGCGTTTATAGAAAGGATATCCTGTAACAAATGAAAATAATCTGTAATGTGATAGGGATAAGCAATAGTATACACGACACGATAAGTGTTTAATAATTAAATATGAGTGCTCTCTAACAGACTTTATGAATGAAGCAGTTGTGAAAGATGTAATGAGAATTTCTTGTCAAATTCACTCAAACTGCCAAATAATCTCACAGTACTCTAGTGGTTTGTTTGCAGCTTAATTAACATCAACATACCATAGCATTTCAATGAAAAAATTCAATGAGAACAAATACAGAATGTAAACGTTATGGAAAATTTTCAACCGGTCAAAATAAACACCTACCAAAAACCTGCTCATACAAGCTCGTTCTGTATACCTTGAGGAAGACAGGCTGCTTTAGTAACTTCATTGTGAGGTCGTCTCGGCTTCACACTGTCAGTGGTCCTGTCAGTTTCAGCTTTGATAGCACAGTGTAATGTTACAAGTTTTAGTTGTTCACATGTTGGGAGGCCAGCGACTGCTGGTCCTTCCACGTCTACTATGTAGAACTTGCTATCCCTCCAGCCAGATCCGTTGTAGCTACATGGAATGTTGATAATTCCATAACACCTGATCGATGATCCATTATATGCTGTTAGCCGTGTTTGACGAGCTGCGTTGGATATCGTGTTAATTGGAAATCCTCCCGGTGTGAGCATGCCGGATACATCTGGCGAAATGTCGACAGTGGCAGTGTATTGTCCTGTGCACCAGTGTCCACCTTCAGTCGCAAATTATGCACTCCAGGGCGATTGGCCCGTTTGATGTGCAGTTTTTGCGAATGCTTCATCCTTGGTTGATTTCTTTAGGCACATAGTCGAGATGGTAATTCTGTCAAATGACAACCCGTCACTTTCCTGGTCTGACTGTCTGTCCGACTGTGCGTATATGGCATCAGTCTTGCTACGGTCATGGTTATTCATGTGCGTCTTACTTCGAGCACCTTTGTAGGAATTACCTCTGCCTCTGCCTCTGAATTGTGCATGATCGTTGTCACGCGATGTTGAGTTGCCTCGATCATGTGATTTTGACTTGGGTCTAGCTCGTGACTTGCTTGACAGACACACAGTAGCCCAGTGGTTTTGCTTACCACATGCATTGCACACTGACCCATGTGCTGGGCACCGTTCTTTGGGTCTGTATGGGTGTTGGCGTCCACAGTTCTGTACTGCTGTATGTTCGGATACTAGCTGTACATGCTGGTCCCATATCCTTCAGTTGCTGCACGTGAGATGCAGCAGCCTCATATGTTCGGCCTAATGCTAGGGCTTCATCAAGTTTGTAGTTTTTGTCCTTGCCCAAAAGTTCCTTCTGGTACTCAGGTATCTGGGTGCTAGCTATGATGAGCTCTATAATTCGCTCGTGTATCTCTGTGTCTTTGAATTGACATCGTAATGCTTGTAGCTTACATCTATTGACAAATTCATCCAGAGTTTCTCCCTGTTTTTGTCTGTAGTGCATCAATTTCAGACGACTTACCCTAAAGTTCTCTGAGGGTTCCAGTTGCTCGGCAAATTTATCGAATATTTTGTCGACAGACTTCTTTTCTTCCTCAGTCAAGGTCCACGAGTTGTATCTGCGTAGTCCCTCATCACCCACTTGCAATAATAAATGGTTAACTTGGTCAACAGTGTCAATGTTCTTTACCTTGAAGTATAGTTCAAGGCGTTGACGAAAGAGTTTGAAGACGTCAGCTTGGTTGGGCAATGCCCAGTCCATGTTAGGTACTCGATCACTCGGCATGTTTACTGGTCCCAGCAACGTATTAGCGAATGCCGCACTGTGTATGTAGATAACACATATCTCCTGTCCGTCTTGTATTTGCAAGTGTTCATATGACGATGTTCGTCAACTTTTATTTCGCCAGCCACTGTATACTGTCGTGTGGCTTTCTGCTGCGCACCGCGTTGTAGACATCACACCGCTCGCGCACACACATCCTGTCTATTGTCTAAACACACATGCTGTTTCCTCCAATGGCGTCTGCAGCAGCAGCGGCATGCAGCCGGGCAAACATTTCCTCGACGCATACACGCCTCAAAGTTTCACTTTGCTGAGGCTTCCCGAACATTGTTCCTTCGCCGCTGCCACCATGTTATGTATTGACGAAGAGTGATGTAACTCATAAAGGTATTTTATTGCTGGAGCTGGTAAATGTTCTGCTTAGCACGCACACGAACTGGCGAACAAGAGCGCGCGATATCAATCCGCGTTGACCTAACAATAAGGTACTAGATTATATAATGTGCATGCGCATAGTAAGTAGTCCATACTATTACAATGTGCACCAACATAAATCGACCTATTTCCAATAGAAATCCGCCATAGACTACTGCTACTTAGCTTTTTACTTTACGGGTAAAAAAAAAACATCTTTGGGATCCCCCGACCAACCCCTACACACAGTGCTGGTCCTAAACATTCTATCGCTAAACTTCGTAAAAAAATTGTACTACAGTAAAACTTTTGGGACTAGCATATTTGTGTCGTCTTTTTATGTGTAAGTCGTCATTTTGTCGACTTATACAATGTATGTAGTGCACGTATACACTGTATTAGCTGCCTTGCGATCGCTACAGAGTATGCAACGTTTTTGCTTTAGGCGCCACGCTGGCGGCATGAAATACATGCAAAAATATGTATCCGTGAAGTGTCAAGCGTTGAACGGGTCAAGTGTTGAAACGTTTGCCGCCTCGCGGTCGATAACGTAACAGCTTCGAACATACATAGAGGTTGGTAGAAAGAAGAAAAATGCCAAGTCATCAGTGTAAACCCAGCTTTAGTACTGTATAGCAGAATTAATTTTCAGGGAGTCACACGGACTCCTGCACATGTCAAATCAGGGAGTCCGACAGTAAATCAGGGAGTATTTTACTCGATCCGGACTCGCGTTAATTTTGCACCTTGCATTGGGCTGCATACACTGTATACAGTGCTGGGTGTGCGAGCTGGGTGTTGAATTGGACACAAAAACCAATGTGTCCAAGCGAACAATGCGATTCAAACAATCCGTCTGCGACAGCCAGTTCGCGCATTCCCTAGACCGTACACTGCGCCATCGGCATTTCTGATGACGACTTACAGATGGGAAATTACTGTTGTTTGTATTACATGGGACCTGTCTGAGAGCGTGTACATAATGACGACTTATAAATGTCGACTTAGGAAGGGCTATATTCCAATGGATTTACTATGAGAGCGAATCGGGACTTTGACAACCATGTCGACTAATTGACGACTTATGCGAGTTTTACTGTACGTAATTTATCTGATTTCACCAGGAGGAAATCTAATAAATCTTGAGTTTTTAGCTCATCTGACATAGTCAGATGCAGCTTGTAGAATCGCATGAGCGTGCGTCCGTGCGTCCGTCCGGCCGTGCGTCAACAGTTGGGCACAAATCTTAACCGCTTGACGTACGGTCACGATATTCGGGACGTCAGGAAGGATCGTCAAAACGAGTTGGGATGGCGAAGCTGGGGGTCAAAGGTCAAAGGTCAAAAGGTGTAAAAGAAGGGGGAACATTCCCTCCTTAACTTAAGGTATAGGGAGGAAATGCAGAATTGCGGCACAAATCTAAACGGCTCGACCTAGGCTCTTGATAGTCGGTGTATAGCATCATGGTAAGAAAAGCCATCACTGTGTCGAAATTGGAGGTCACAGGTCAAAGGTCAATGGGGCACAGGGCAGATTTTAGACAATTTCTTAGGACATGGTCTGACGGAGCAACTGGAAAACTTTTTTGTTTCAGCGGTGACCTAGCATTTTTATGGCTTTATTGAAAGGATTATGAAATGTACTTTCTGCTGAAATGCGAAGAGTAAGGGGTGTGGATAACCTTTTGTACCCTCAAGAGGAGGGTTAAACATGGATTGTTTACTGCTCTGTTAGAAAGAATTGACTGGCGGGTTTGCTAGTAGAATCTATACCATGCCTGGATGTATTCGAGGCTACAATGTCACAGTCAATTTCAAAAGCTAAATTTGGTAGAAGGTTTATGCTCCTTCAATCGTAGTAATTTCTATGGCATTCTGTACTTGTCAGTGTGTTACATGTAACGTATGCCACTGCCAGTGCATGTGTGTGGTTGATATACTGTGGTAGTTTTTGCCTGCGTTAATTAGTTACAGTGGCAGCTTCCTATTTCAGCCTGTAGGCTTGCGTAGGTTAAATGGATGAGTGCTTACCTATTCTGTCTTGCAAATAGTTGTTGCTACTCGTACGCAAGGGAGCTTCCATCTTTAATCTTAAGACACTTAAAACATACACGCCATCTCGTGGCAATTTCATAACGATCCCAACGGACATTTCTTGAGAAGGTTCCTGATACCATCCCTTCGCCTTCCACTTGTTTCGGCGTGTATAGTGAACACATTTCGCGACTAGCAGGGTTTACTAGAATCCCCCACTCCACCACAGAGTCCACCCGCAGTAGACGTTAGATGAGCCGCTGTCGCCTCCGGGCCTTGTTGCTTTTAGCAGCTTTGTGTTTTATTTGTTAAATAATATAGAAATATACAGAGGTGATGCGACATAGAAACTAAACAGTCAAAATTTACTGTCCCGACATGCTATGTGCGCGTTTCGTAAGTTAGCCTGGTGCTATATAATACACGTCACCAGGCAAAACGTTTTTTTTAATATTTTTCCACCTGCCACCTTACCTTTACTATATTACTACTACGATACCTCAAACATGTGGAGATATTTAAATGTTCTATGTTTAATTCAATGTTCTAACGGATATCAGGATTATAGAACACAATATCAGCTACACATTGGAGTATTGATTTACAGGATTAGTGCAACCTATATAATGTCATCATTTAAATAGCCTCACCTTAAATCCCTGCATTACAGTCCTCAAGTGCCATAGTCTCCTTCCTTTTCAATCGAACAAATTTTTGTCACAATCTTTGGAATCGTCTCTTGTTACCTTTTGACCCAAACAGTTCAATGGGGATGACTCTATGAGTAACAGCTTTAGCAAAAGAAGAAACCTTGCTTGGCGGGGGTAGCATGCTCTAGCAGCACAGTTAGTTGATTCTGTGACGCATGGTCTTGTTTTCACCTGCCGTTGGCCTTGCAGAATTTTGCACTGACTTGCTCCCGCACACTGAACCATCGTATGTCTGATCCATCGTCTGACACAAATCTACCAATAATTTTGCTGCAAATGATGTGTCTGGATCTCTGTGCACGTTTGTAGACCATTATTTGTTCTTTTTGATTCCTGCTTCAGTCAGTCGGTTTACTTTGCTGACTTAGCTTTCCACGAAGACTCATGGTTTCTATGGTCTTTTTTCTCTTGCAGCTAGGTGCATAGTTGTCATTCTCCAGGAATCACTTGATTCTTTATTTTTCTTGTGCTCTTCTTTCCTCTATGGAGATAATATTCATCATGTTCTTCAATGCAGTGTCATCCGCCATGACGCTCTTCACATTGTGTACTTATCACTAGCGACTGCTCGGGTTTAACACCTTCCTGCGAAAGTTATATTAGCTTAAATAATTACATCGATATGGCTAAGGCAACCTTCTTGGATACACTTTACAGGAAAAGACCTTTACTCTTAATGGTACTTTAAGATTATTATTTACATAAACTAACAGATGAACACCTTAATTACTTTTTATCCTGTTGATAAGCTTCTTTTACTATTAGTGGATCAACCTCAATTTGCCTTCCCTCCGTATAAGATGAACTGATCAATAAGATGAAAAATTTTCTAAACTCCAGCAACATTTGGAAAGTGGTTATTGATCATACTTGAAATTGTTGACGGAGTTTCCTGAGGTGGGCGGAAAATGCTTCTCCTGTTTCTCACTTGATTATTTTTTGTAGCCTTGCTTCCGCTCTACATATTTATGACCAATGACAAGCATTCCCTTGCAAAAAGTACCTTAGCTGAACTTTCTTTGTTGTCATCAACAATTATACATAATACAAATAGTAATGCTATAAGCAACATTTACATCGTATGCAACATTAAGATATTTTTCTGTGTTTTTTACTCTTAGAGTAGCAGAGTAAAGTTTACTCATTTACATTATAACATACATAGACATTTTTTAGCCATTATATATCCTTTGTAACCGCTGTTGCACAATAAATAGACAAGGTCATGAGTTTTTCCAAATTACTACGTTAGCCCTATACTATCTTAGCTCAATAGACAAACAAGTTTATAATGTGTATTTATGCTAATTAAACATTCTAAAGATTGTCAGCATTGGAACCAATGCTTATGATCACCTTACACTAATATTTCTCCTCCCTATGTGTTTTACTTTGCCACTTTTCATTATGTTCTGGCTCAGATCTTTGAATCAAAAATTGCCAACAATAGTTTACAAATTCCTTCGTTATCAATCTCGGCCATCTCAATTCTGCGTATCCATGTGTTCTCTGCAAAAAAAACAACCCCATTATATACTATTTAGATAATTCAAATCCATTTACCTTACACAGAAAGTGTCGGTCTTTGTATTTTGGTAGGTCTGCTTGCCGTAAAACGTATACCATACGTTGCATACTTAGTGCCCTCAAGTGAGGCCGAAACAAATTTAAATGCATTTCACTTTTTCTAATTGTTCTTCGTATTATTTTTTGGACCATTTCTGATATCGGACTCTTGCGGTAACACGTATAGTGTCTTTTTTATACTGCAAGGCCACTAAAATGTTATAAAACATCGCACACATCATTATCTTTGACTATAACCGTATGCCTACCGGATCTGATTCAAAGTAAATTAGTTCTACATATGCTCACAGAATGTAATCACCACGGGCATTCCCGCATCTTAATCTCAATGGCCCATCAAAAGATGCGTCTGTTCTCTGACACTATATTACCTTTGCCTACGTGTCGAGCATGATAGCGTATCCAGTTCCAGTAAGCATTTTCATGTTTAATTTTATGCAATTCTCAGGAATGCAGATGCAGTTTGCCTGTTTCTATAACATATAACACATCACTACAATTCATAGTAATTGTAAAATTCTATCCATTAATATGATCAGAAAAGAAAGTGATGAATCCTTAAACTTATCTTTTCTTTATAGAGCCTCACCCTGCCCACAGTATCAAACAGCATCCCCCCACACTTTTTTTCATTCTGGATGAAGTAACTGTCAGCATAAAAATAGAATGATATAGTCACATCAATAACACTAAGCATCCAAATATTGCGACCTATGTCAAAAGCCTATAGACTATATAGATGTATCATACATCTTATATTTACATAACTCGACTCATTGACATTAAGCAACTTGAAACATAGCAGCTTTGGATTACAAAATAGCTCATAGAAAGCCTGGTAGCAGGATCTGTGTCTTGCTAGACACTCTTCTACGCTGATTTGCCTTCGGCTGGCCACTCTTACGTTCACCCTTCCCCTTCCTCTTTCTCGTCCACGTAACGCTTTCTTCCGTCGAGGCGTTCTGGAGGGCTTGCGTTCCAAGTAAGTAATGCCCTGTTAGCTTTCGCTCTTTGCTACATGGCTATCAGAATCTACTGGCTTCTATGTTTACTTGCTATGTATCTTTCTCTAGTACTCTCGATGGCGTAAGTTGTTTTTGCATTGGCCTACTTTGAATGTTCTGTATACTACCTACTCTTGTGACCTTACTCAATTGGAGGCGCGACATGTAAAAACCTCCAATGCGAGGTTGTATACTGCCTCTTGATAACCTGTTGCGTATCCTTTCAGCCCAAACAGCGTTTATTAGAAAGGATCTATCCTGCCTAACAAATGAAAATTAATCTGTAAGCTGTTGATTAGGTATAAGCAATAGTTATACACGACACGATAGCTGTGTTTTCATAATTAAATATGAGGCTCTCTAACAGACTTTTCATTGAATTTGAATGCAGTGTGCGAAAGATGTAATCGAGAAATTTTCCTTTCAATTTCATCAAACTGCTTCCAAATTAATCCAACTGTAGTACTCTTAGTGGTTTTGTCTGTAGCGTGTATATTTAACATTCAATCATACCATAGCGATTTTCAATGAAACAATTCAATGAGAACGAAACTAGCGAGAATGTAACGTTATGCAAAATTTTCAACCCGTCTCAAAATAAACACCTCACCAAAATACCTGCCTCATACAGCTCTTCTGTATACCTTGGCAGGAAGAACAGGCTGCTTTAGTAACTTCATTGTGAGGTCGTCCCCAATTCTGTGAGGCAAAATCCAAAACAGCATGGAATGGCTACTAGGAAATACACAACTAATATATACTATTTATATAATAACATATTATATATATATAAATAGGAATAAATATAATAAAATATATATTATATATATTTATAATTATATATATTTAATACTAGCTTTAATAGTATATATTACAATATAATGATGGCATACATATCAGCTAGTCTTCTGCCAATGCCTACTAATAATATATAGCATATCATCATACGTCAATGTGCACAAGAATACGAGATATTGTTCTCAAGACTAGAAGCTGTATGTATAACAGGTGATCAACGTAATATCATTAATCACAATTTTAAATGTAAAGTATCAAAATATTAATAGAATAGGAAAATGTGCATCTCTACAATCAATGAATATTGGCTGTCCTGTGGCAGGAATCAACAGAGTGGACTTGGGTGTTAGCAGCCTGTCTTTATCAGCATATATATCGCATGCTGGTTATCGCATAAATTATATGTTGGGTGGGAAGCAAGTATGAGTGGAGTTTCACATATCTAGTCTCATCAGTCTTATCTTTCAGTGACATCACGTTATGAAATCGATACATACTTTTCATGCAGAATCTGCATGCTTCTGCTGGTGATGAGCACAAGAAATGTTGTTTGCATTGATGACACATACTCAACAAAAGGCAATAGACTTTGCAGAGAGAATTCGTATGTGAAGCTCTCTCTATCGCTACACTGCAATAGAGTTGAGGATACAGTCAGTTACGGACAGGTATCATGCACTGTAAAGGGCATTACAACATAATTGCTCACAAAATCTAAACAAATTATTTAATAAAAGAGATGTTTCTCTACGCTCACCGTGAAAACAATCACAGAAACTTCATCGCTAATTACCTCAAAGCAAAAATTGTTAAATTCATATGAAAAAACGTTTTTCTCCACATAATGACATTTCTCAGAAACAGCAAAGGGTTGAAACCTAAACATTTAGCCATACGTTGTTCATAGTATTCACTAGTAAACAGTCACTGGAATTAAAGTTTTTTTTTTAGGAAATAAGTTGAAAAGATGCAAGAAAATCTGTAATGTTCTTTGATGACACAACAATAACGTAAATAAAGCAAAAACTTCTAAAATATAGACTTTCATAAGAAATACAGAGACCGTTTACTCCATTAATATGTTAGCATTAAAACGGAACCAAAATTTTTCGAATCGGACTTGTGATTTCCAAGAAATCAATATTGAAACTGCAGCATTACTAACCACAGAGATTTTTACGGTTTTCTACATTCTACGATGATTTGATGACTGTGTTTAGAATTGACCATGCAAGGTAAGTACAATTGCTATTGTTAGTGCTCACTGCGACCTATGTGGCCAATTACCATAAATTTGTTGTAATTTGACAAAATAACTGATCTGTTTCAGTGTTTCCCCTGGCCAAAAAGGTCAGCGAGGTGGAATATTTTTTGTTGGTGGTTGCATTTGGGTCATAATGTCATGTTGAACAGGATTCCTCGTTTCCCTTTGAATTAAATAGTAGAGGCTCATCTCCATTCACACGGCGCGGCACAGCAATGGCGCCGTTCACCCGCTCCGGCAAAATTCAAATCTATATATCTTATGGCGCAGTCTCTGCTGACGGTCCTGCACAAAAGTTGGTGGTCCGCTTATTTAATAGCAGTGAGTAACAAAATAGTATACAAAAATAACCATTGGCATTAACAGCATACATGTAACTTAGAGTTGGTCAAATAATATATTTCAAGCTCTAGAAATGTCGGCGGAGCTTCTGGGAAAGGTTTTACTTTCGTTTTTCTCCTCCCCAGTCCTCGGTATAGTACCCCCATGCATAGATCAATGCCGCCGCACATCCGCAAAGTTACAAGTGCCTAGAATCTTGAAGTATATACAGTTTACATTGCTTCTAGATATCTAACTAAACGGAGTCCGGAGTCAAATACTCCCTGATTTACCGTCGGACTCCCTGATTTGACATATGCAGGAGTCCATGCAACTCCCTGAAAATTCTGATATACTAACAATTAAGTTCGTTCCAGAGCACGGCCTCACGGAATTACCGTATTTTTTTCAGCAAGTGTCCAAAGAAGATTTGGCATACGTGCATCGCACGAATCTTCAAAATGTATGAGTTATTGTTGTTGTGCTTTAGTTTTGAACTTCAGACTGCAGACTCCCTCATTTTGCTAAGGATCGACTCCCTCTTGTTGAGGGCAGGGAGTCTGTTGGACTCCCTTGTTCAAAAGTAAATTTCGAACCCTGGACAGTGAGAATTCTGACAGCTCATTAGTAGTCACTGAATATGTTCTTTGTATTACTGTAAATTAATCTTTGTACGAATTTCAAATTTCAGTCTTATTTTTTTTTAAATGCTGCAGTATCCGGGGAATGAGGGAATGATGCGGGCCTGTAATTTGCCTGGCGGGCCTGTAAAATCCCTTAATTAACGGGCCCGGCTGGCCTGTAAACTTTCAAACTAATTTCTACACCTGTAAGCACATGCAGGGATTTTGAATTGTTCGTGAGACCACATACATAATAGTAGTTGCCCAGAGGTGCCATCTATCAAAATGGGTGTTGAAATTTTGACCAAATTTCACCTACAACCCTGAATGTATCTTTAAATGTATACATATTACACATCATGTAATTACACCACGAGTTTTTGAAATCTGAACATCTTAAACCTTACAAACCAATTTTATTAATGCAAGTTAATGGTAAAAATATACTTACATGACGTAGCCCAGTAATGACTGTAGGCCTAGAATCTTTTTCTGGGTTATTCGTTGATAGCTACAGTCAAACATATAACGTAAGAAGTGCATACTTAGTTGCAAAGATGAAATATACATGCACCATTAATGGTAATTCTTTCTGATGGGGAATATATACAAGACAAGTGCCGCAACAGCGACAGTGCTCATCTGCTGCTCTACTGTACTGGCTTTCATTTCTGCAAAAGGTTGAAAGCCTGTTCTATCGCTAAACCGGCTACGTCATCATCAAAACTGTGTAGCATAGGTATTAACACTAAAACTAAACCCTAACAATGCATCCTACTTCATACCTGCTCAACTGTCTTATATATTCGTGTCATAATGTATCACTAGGCCTATAGTTGCCGCGAGATGGCGCGTGCAAGTGTAATCAATAATCAAACATGGCATCGACCTTTGTGCATTGGTGATAAGTCAAGAAAGTAGAGATAACATAATTCCACTAAGTTACTGAAATGTACAGGCTAAAATCCAAGTATATTCAGGCAGGTAACAATTTGGCTCAGCTGCGAGTAATAAATTAAACACATCTGCATTGCAGGTGTGCATGTTTATTAGAAAAGTGCCAGTTCACCCCCATGCATGAGTAATGGGTTGCCCCCGGGTTTTTGCCTAGATTTCGGATGCCGGTAGCCACGCTAGCATTAAGGGTGCTATTAATATACAGACTGCTTTAGAAAATAATATGATTTAAGGAGTGTAAACCTTGTTCAACAAACTTTTGTCTTTGCAATTGAACTGCAAATGTAGCCTCACATCCACACAGGTATGGGCTCTAATAATAGCAAAAGCAGTTCAGTCCTTTGTTAACAGTCAACAAATCCATGTTGAACCCTCCCTTTCAGGGTCAAAAGGTTATCAAGCACTTACTCTTCACACATTCATGGAAAGCCACTTTCATGGTCGCCTTCAATAAAGCATAAAATGCTAGGTCACCCGCGGTGAACACAAAAAGTTTTTCCAATCGCTCGGTCGCACCTGTCCTCCAGAAAATTGTGTAAATCTGGGCCTGTGCATCCATGACTGTTGACTGGACCTCAATTCAGCACAGTGATGGCTTTTCCTACCATGATGCTATACACCGACTATCACGAGCCTAGGTCGAGCCGTTTAGATTTGTGATATTCCTCCCTATACCTTAAGTTAAGGAGGGAATGTTCCCCCTTCTTTTACACCTCTTGACCTTTGACCCTTAACCACCAAATTGGTCATCCCGAGTACTTTTCACAATCCCCCCCCCACGTCCTAAATATCGTCACCGTACGTCGAGCGGTTAAGATTTGTGCCCAACTGTTGACGCACGGACGGACGCACGGCCGGCCGGACGCACGCACGGACAATCATGCGATTCTACAAGTTGCATCTGACTACGTCAGATGAGCTAAAAAATGTAGTTTAGAATATTGGTATGGGTTTAAAGTTTTGGTTTACACGTTGTTATAGTTAACACAGGGGCCTATATACTCACATATTCCTCGACAACTTGGGCTGCAACCTCTGCTAAAGTAAACCGAACAGATTTATCTTGCACTTGGCATTCCAAGTTAGTTACACTTCCAACAAGACCATGTTTGATCATCTCCAGATACCTGAAATTATGGAAAACTATGAAGTGATATAAAAAAAATAGCAGGAATTTATCAAGCAATATTAAACCGTGATAGTAATAACAACAAATCCAGCATGAGATTCTTTGATATACTATCAATTCCTATGGCTAGATTCATCAAAGGTGTGTGGCGGTGGCACCGGTCACCACGGGTCCCTAGCACGGGAAGGGAGAGGTAGCTCAATGGGTACCATGGGCAGTGTATGTGTAGATGTTCTGTGTTTGTGATTGTGTAATTATTTGTGATGTTTACGGTCTTTTAGTATTGTTTTGTCTTGTTGTTTGCTCACCGAGTTAACACCGTGCTCACTATGTTACGCTAGGTACTCCCACCTTTAGCGGCAGAGAATGGCACGGGAATTGCGAAACAGTTGGCCCATAGTGTGGCGGGAAACACGTGAACTCTCTCTCTCAGTTGGTGGGCGGCGCCGGGCGTACGACAGTGTATTTTGGTAGTGAAGTGTAGAGTGAGAGGGAACGCCACCCACCTGCTGTTGAAGTGTTTAATTATAGTCAGTGAGTAAGCACCCCGTATTGTCCTGTTGTCGTGGGTGAGTAAATAATACCGTAGAATATTAAATAGGTTATTTAATATTCAGGGCCGTAGTGGCCTCCCAAAATGTGCTACTGCAGAAAAATGTAGGATCACCCAGTGATAATAGCAAGAGTGGCGGTTATGGTGTGTGCCGCAGGCAGGCATGGCTAACGCCGCGATCGTGAAGCCGATGCGGGGGGTCTGGGGGTACTCTCACATAAAAAATTTGAAATTTAGAGCCCTGAAATGGCATTTCCTGCATTTTCAGGCTATGTTGAAAGCAACCAATTCTGATCATTTTAAAAGGTCAATTTGTAAATTTCAAAGAGGAATGTAGCTAAAGCTGATCTTTTGACTAAAGTATCTAAAATATATATTATGAGTATGATATTGATAACTAATAAAACATTATTTACAAAATTGTATATACTATCAGTTATAGTTTTTAATATTACCGTTTCAGTGCATCGTACTTCAGAATACGTTGAAGCCGGGCCGTGAAGGCATGCATGCAACGTGTGTGTGTTGTGCGTGCGTGCGTGCGTGCGTGTGTTGTCTCTGTGTGTGTTGTGCGTGCGTGCGTTCGTGTGTTGTCTATGTGTGTGTGTGTGCGTGCGTGCGTGCGTGCGTGCATGCGTGCGTGTGCATGCGTTCATCTCTCTCCGTGTCATGTTTTTCTCTCCTCTACATAATACAGCAATTATTGGTTCTAGTGCTACAGCATAGATTTTAAACGTAATTTTTTTTCCGGAACCGGAACGTTCGGTGGGTGGGTTATTGCGGATCGAGTGCAGTAGAACTGGGGCGCTCTGGTGCAGCAGAATCCTGGGTGGTGACGATACGGCCATTTCACGCATCCGGACACACTAGAAGTCAGTGTGCTTACCTAAAAGGCCCCGCTTATGTCGGCCTACGATTTATCTATCGGCGACTAGCCCACTCGACTCGACTCGCCCGATAGAATCGGGCGATTTAGTCGCCCGATTTAATCGCCTAGTGTGTCCGGCCCTTAAACATACGCAGTCGTATATTACTTATGACACTCCTAGTTAATGACGTCATATCCCACTATGGCGGACGAGGTAGAAAGTTCAAACTGGTGAGTTTATACTATATTAACATGTGTTTTGGCATGGCGATATTGTGTGTATAGTTATATGACAGTTCTATCTGCTAAATAAATTGGCATTCTAATTATAAGGCACACGAATTGTCATTAAACAATTATTCTTGATGATTTCGGCAAGGTGTGACTACATGGGGGTGGTAGCCTGTACGGTGTACCCCGCGTACGGGGGATCGCCGTACGCTACTGACGTGCTAAACATAATATTCGATTATTATAATAGTAATATACCTAATAACTACTAACTACTACTCAGTACTCAGTAGTGAAGTAATAGTAATGAGGTAATTAGGCGCCTATATTAGGTACATGGTATACTCGAATAATATTTATAGATTACTATTCGCAGATTGATTAAATATCAGTGTCATGTTGTGTTCACATAGCTTTCTAGAAGCTATAAGCCGCTTACATTAATCTGGCCGCTGGCATAGCATTCACCATTAGAATGCTCGGACGATACTTACTCCAGCCAGTCAGGCGGAACTATGTATTTCCGCATGATCGGAGGGGTGGGCGGGGTTGTGTTGGTGTGTGGACAAAACATTGTTGTTGTCAAGTAGACATAATTATAATAGTAATTTGTTCATCTTTCATGCAAAGACGTAATATTACAATCTCTTTTGCTGCGCTTAAGTTTGTTTACTCTGACAAACAACAATGTTTTTCGCAGCAACCACCCCAACCCGCGCACCCTCCACATGCGAAATACCATAAGTTCCCGACTGGACTGCGCGCTGCTGCAGCGCCGCACCGAAATGGCCGTTTGAAGCTTTCGCAAATCGAATGTTTGTTCACAAAGAATTACCGCAGCTATACCATTGCACACGATAGTTAGAGTTCAATTTTGTAGCGGCTCATAACATTATAGACATATTCCTATCGGGATAATGAGGCATGTAATTGCCTACCCACGACGTTTTTTTGCCGGATTACTGTGGCAGATTAAGTGTCCATTGCATGCCCCACTGGGTCGGTCTTATAGGCCCAAGACAGCAGTTAATGTAAGCGCGCTATGTACTAGAGCTAGTTCAGCACAACTTCACATAGGGATCTATTCTTAAGGCCCGCTCAAGGTCGGTTCTACGATCGTTTACTATCGCGACTACTTTATCGCCGATTAGCAGCGTAGCAACACTCATGTCGACTTGAAGTGACTACCTGCACATCGCGATCAGATCGAGCGGTTCCTTGCATGAAACGTAGACGGGTTCGCGGCCCCAATATTGTGGTACTAGCACAGCAGTTCTTGTAGCACAAACGAGCAAGTTTGACCGACCGGCCGCCGGACCACAGTCTACATAAAACGAGTCACGTAACGTAAAGAAACAAATGGGCTTACCAGTAAACATATGTAACTTCGTTAAATCCTATCCTCAATTTTCTGAACATCCGTTATAAGTCATGTGCAGAAATTTTTTTCATAGTGATTACGGAAAATCTCAATCATAGTATTGTGAGAAAGGGTTTGTGGCAATAATCCATCTTTGTAAACGTGCTGAGAGGGCGTGTAGTGTCCATTCTTATTAATGACGTGACTTTTGATGAATATGTGCTCGACAACCCGCTGCGGTGATTGGCGCCCCACTCACGATTCTCGTGCGCCGACAGCCGCATAGAAATAGAACATGTTCTATTCCTGCGATCGCAGTCGGCGACCGTATTTTCTGATCGTAAGAGAACTCATGGTCGAGTTTGGTCGCGCGATGTGTTTTATCGGCGATCTGGCCGGCTTTTTGACGTACGATATTCCAAAATCTTGTCGCGACTAGGTCGTAAGGCCGACATAAGCGGGCCTTAAGGTTACTGCTAGTCACTACGTTTCGACTGGTGGCGCCATCGGGCGTCACAAAAGAGAGACACGAAAACGCTACAGTGTGTATATAACCCGAATGACTAGTTGACTACCGTATGCAACATGTATGTATGCAGTGAAGTTTCACTGCGTGCTGGTTATTGATATAAATTCCAATTGGAAATCATCTGCATTTATCAGAAACAGGTAGTTTGCAGAATTTGAATTGCAATCGCTGAAGCAGGTGGTATAGAAGTTTCTGCACTGTGCATTTTCGCATGCATGCATGCTGGGCTATGCGCTTGCTTAGCTGATCACCCGCATTAAAACATACAGAGGGGCGATTCAAAAATTACGTAACACCTTTTTTCAGCAAATTTGACACCCCCACCCCCTGTAACATTTTGTAACATCACACCCTACCCCCCCCCCAATTACGTAACACCAACAGTACCCCACCCCCTGTTTTTTGCACACATCTAAATTTCGCCATTTCTCAATATATTTGAAAAATGCTATTTCATATAAATTTTAATGTAAATTAGTAAAATTTGGAAAAACTACTAAAAAAAATTTCCCTACCTACATCATTAGATAATTTCTTAGGATATTCTATGAAACAAACAATTCATTTAGTATAGTCTGCGAAATTAACCACTGCATGGCCCGGTATCCAGGGCCAGTAAATTTTCCGTGGGGCCAATGAAACTGGTAAATGAACCTGGTTCCATGCCCCGATAGGCCAGTGGAAAAAAAATGGAGTAACTGGTCTATTGATGATATTTCAGCTTCTTTATGTGATGATCAGTCTGAGAATTGACCGAAATTCCCGATATTTTGTATTAAAATTTACCGATATTTACCGATAGGGCATCATAAGTAGATCTTAAGTAAGGAATAATTATAATTATATAAGATCTTAAGTAGGGGAAGTAACTAGTCAACACCATGCGTGTTTGTCGCCGCTAGAGGTCGGAACAACTTCCGGTTTCCGGTTCTGGTTTTCAATGTGGCCTTGAACGTGTTGGCTAAGTTACTGTTCGAAGTCGAAATGAGCTTTCTGATTATGAATGTCAATGAGCGTGATAATGATGAGTACGATGGCAGTGACAATTAATGAGATGGGGGAGAGGGAAGTGGATAATTGGGATAGTCGGGTGGAGGGGAATCTAATAGCAAAAGCAGTTCAGTCCTTTGTTAACAGTCAACAAATCCATGTTTAACCCTCATCTTGAGGGTCAAAAGGTTATCAGACACTTACTCTTCGCACGTCAGCGGAAAGTAGATTTCATGGTCATTTCAATATTAAAGTGATAAAAATGGTAGGTCAGCGCTGAAACAAAAAAGTTTTGCACTCGGTCCATTAGACCATGTCCTCAGAAAATGTCTGATACAGTAAACACCCGCATAAAAGAACCCGTGATTTTCTGTTTCATGCTGAAGTGGTTCTTATATATATGGTACATAGTGAGAAATCAGCCTGAAGAGGTTCTTAAAGAGGTTCTTAATTTTGGGGGGGATATTGTGTACATTATCTAGGTAAAATTGGCTTTAATTAGTGAATAATTGACACTAATAATATTCACACCATCCTCCCCCTCAATCCTCTGTATCGTCAAAATCCAGAGAAACCGGGTACAAGATAGCGTTGCGCAAAATTAAGATGCGTTATTCCCCGACCGCCGAGAGCGGTTAAGCCACGCACTTCCGCGGGACTGGGCGCACGTGACCGCGGGGTGTTGTATGTAGCATCTCGCGCTGCCCGCTATACGAATTCGCGCGCCGAAGGAGGGCGGGCGCGCGAATCCGTATAGCGGGAAGCGTAACATCGCGCAGTTTTCGTGAGCCGTACGCCGGCTTGACTACGGCGGCCTAAAATCCAATCCTCCTGTGAGAAGGTATTAATATTATCTGGAACTACATGTTGTTGGTTTCCAATGGTGTAGCACACATACTTGGATTGCCCTAGTTTGCTTTAATTTTTGGCATTTTTTTTATATAAGAACCTGTTTAATTTATCCGGCTGAAGAGGTTCTTATATAATAGGTGCTTTATTGGTCCAATTTCAGCCTGGAGGTTCTTAAAATCACGGGTTCTTTTATGCGGGTGTTTATTGTATCTGACCCTGGCTAGATTCCTGGCTAGATTTCCCCACTGCCCTTTGACCTGTGACCTCCAATTTCGCACTGGTGATGGGTTTCCTCCCCATCACACTATACACCGAATATTAAGAGCGTAGGTCGAGCCGTTGAGATTTGTGCCGCAATTCCGTATTTCCTCCTATACCTTGAGTTAAGGGGGGAATATTCCCCC